CTCCTGGGCACATGAACCTTCTCACCTCAGAAACAGCAGGATCATCTGAATCTTCACTCCTAAGTGCTTGGGTTACATTTTAACATCAGCAAAGCTGTACTGTATCTGTTAGTTACTAATAATAGATTTTAACTAAAGTATAAAATAATTCTGTGCCTCTCTCCACAGATTAGGAAAACAGATATTATCCATTTACCAAATGATGTGTGGTTTAATAAAACCTAAATATATTTCAGTGGTATCCATATGTTTTATCTCCTGTTAACATCTTTTAAATTGAGGTATTAGAAGTATTTAACTTCTGTAAATTAAAATAACTATAAGCCTAAAAATACAATAGGTATCTGAAAAATATTGCTTTTCTGACACAAAGTTACTAAAGTAATGAGTTTTCTTCAGTGACTGAAACCCCTAAGTTATTTCCCAGCCAGGCCTATGATTACACAGAATTATCAATATGCTATTTCTAGGTACGTACCCCACCAAGCATGCTACATCCAAGGGCTAAAAACTTTATCCACTCTATTTTGTGTTCACAAGGATCCAACTGCAAGACAGCTCTGAATTTTTCGATTGGCAGGCACAAATTTTTCCATTTCTGCTCAAGGTCGGCTAATCCCACATATTGCTTGTGGCTACACTGTTTAGAAAACACAGTATAATACAATTTACATAAGTTTTAAAATCCATGAAATACTATAATGCTATGAATACTTGAACATATCTCAAGTACCCCACCCCAAGCAGGGACAGGTAAGCTCTGAATTCAAGGTTCAGTTAGCCCTGTGGAAGGAAGGGTGGACGTGAGCAGCAGAGGGACACACATGCCAGGAGGGGGGCAGAGAGCTTGACAACAATCCTGACAGCAATTTACTTCTTAACTAAGGGCTGTGAAGCAAATATAGCATAGTGTTATAGCTTTAAAAACAGGCATGCCAATGCTGGGCATGTGATCCTCTATTATCTGACTATAAAGCTTTGCAATAAAAAACTAACCTCAATAAATAAAATAAAAACTTTTAAACTCCAACCCCACAAACATGTTAACAGTTCTACATGGGAGAAATCTTAAAATTAAAAATAAATTTATTTTTTCTACTGTTTTAAAACAGTCTAAGAAAATGGATAACTTCTGCAATCTGCTAGTACTAGGCTGTGTGATGGGCTCTGGCAGCACTTGCATGCCCTTCCCCAAGCTACCCCCTTTCAATGGGTATTTGTTTCCCTGTTAACAGAGAGCCATGGAGAATCCTAGTTTCAGAAATCGATGTATCCGGCACAGAAGCACAGTACTTCCAGATGCATGGTGGGCACTATGTTGTACACCTGAAACTAACATAATATTGTATGGCAACTATAAATTTTTAGTGTATAATGGGGACCAGTCACTTTAAAAATCAAAGTTATGTCATCGGTGTCATTTTCAGCAATACAGCCCAATCACCATGAATGCCAAGCCTCAAGCGGGGTGATGTACTTCCTATTAATTCGTTTTCCTAAAAACGAGCAGGTGGGGCAGGAGAAGACTCGACAAGGGCTGTCTGGGCAGGGCCAGGCCCAGGCTGTCTGGAGGGTTGGAAACTAGCCTCCTGAGGGCAACTGTCACCGCAGCAAGTACAGAGCTTTCATAAACATGTAGTCAAAAATGATTTGCAACCGCTAAGTCTAAAGTGTCATGCTTTCATATTTTTAGACTTTTTTTTCAGCCCAGCAGCATCTAAGCGTCTTAATTTGGTACTTAAAAGACATTACATTTCACTTTTCTACAATCTAATCGTGAACAGCTATTTTGGATTCTTTCAGCTCGAGAAAGGCACCAAACAAACGAGTTCCCCTTTGAGCGAAGCGCAAAGGTTTATGGCAGGGAGCGCAGCTTGCGAGGAGGTTGAGGAGCTGGCTTCGGGCAGGCCGGGCTCCCTCGGGCTCAGCTGGCGGAAACGGCCTCATACCTGCTTGTGCAGCACTTTAAGCAATCCTTGAGTCAGGCCAGTGTCTGTTTTCTGAGTGGCCACGGGCATTTCGATTCTGTCCTTTACAGGAAGTGGATCTCCTCTTGACAAAGCTGAAAAATACCTAAGAACAACGACAGACATATCTGAAGACTCATCAATACACAAAAAGCAAATTAGTAATAATCACTGTGCTTTCTTAAACAACCCGAGTCCAACAGTGATTAGGGAGGAGAGCCCTAGAGTCCGGAGGCCCAGGTCAGTCCCGGTTCCTCCACTCAGCTCTCCCACTGAACCCTCTCTGCTGCCTCAGCGTCTCTGTCTGCAAACCGGGGATGACAGTCCCTGTCTTAGGGGTCTTGTGAGTACTGAGCAGACACCACACATGCTGTTTTTATCAAGCAAACATCACGAGTGGTCCTGAAATGTGGCCAGAGGAGCTGGAAGATGAGGGATACAGTATCCAAGGGCAATGTCGTGGTCTAGTCATTCCACTTTAACAGCTGATCTTGGTCTTCCCTTTACTGGGCCTTGCTACTTTTCCAGGGGCTTGAGAGCAGCCATCTCTGCCTATTCAACTCCAAGGCACCCAGATCAGGGATGTCCTGTTTGCGCCACTCTGCTAAGTCAGAGGCCGCCCCTCCCCAACCCCCCACTAGTCCTGCCTGGTTTGGTTTTGGGTGTTTTTTTTTCATATTTTTTACCTTAATTGTTCCCTTCTGGGCCCCAAATATTGCTGCTTATATTGAGGGCAAGCAACGGCACAGAAATGTTCTGGGGCAACAAGTCAAGAGGGGGCACACACCCAGCCTCTGGCTGGTGGGGAGGGGGAGGGGTTGACAGACAAGTTCTTCTGCAAAACTTACTCCCCTTTGGGCCAGCATGCCAGAGGTGGCCAGCTTCTGAGCCCCATCAGCGGCACCTCTAACGCCTAACACCACGAGAAAACCAATATATCCAGGAAAAGGAACACTAGATCATCCACCAGGGCCACAGGTAATAATTTAAAAGATATGAGTAACTGGAAACATCTCTGAATAGGTAAGGAAGCATGGAAAGGTTTCTGATAGGCTAAAACAAAACAAATTTGATACCTCACCCCTTTTTTCTCCACCTCTCAAACTCAACTTTGCTTTCATCCTTTTAAGACAACTCCAGTCCTGTCTTGTTTATTTAATGGTCTGAGGGAGAGTCAAAATGACGGCAGCAGTGAGTTAAGACAAATGTGAACCTTAAGACCAAAAGCGCCAGGCTGAAGGACGGGTGCTAAGTTCTGCCACATTGTTCCTAATTAAGATTTTCCCCTACTACAGGGGCTTCATTCTTCATAGCCTATCGAACCCATCCCCAAGCTTGATAGAGCCTGTAGAACAGTGGTTCTCAACAGGGGCAAGTAGGGTCCTTCCCCTTCCCAAGAAGGCACGGGCACTTTCCAGAGCTCTTCTGGTCGTCACCGCGGGAGGTGGATGATGTTACTGCCATCTAGTGGGCACAAACCAGGATGCTGCTAAGGATCCTAGGGCCCCACCTCCCTCACACACCACCCAAAAGTTGTCCCCTCCATAATGTCAAGTGAGCTGAGGCCTGCATTAGTGGCAAGACTCTGCTAGTTCCCTGGAGGCATATGTGAGTGAAAACGGCCTTTTGGTACTTAACCAATGCTGGCCTCCATCGTGCTGCGTGACGCACAACTGCTCCATGACGCAATAAGGCACAGCTGACTAGCTGCGACACCACAGCACAGCACACAGGTGGGGGGGGGGCTGGACCACCTTTGCCGCTGGAAAGCGTCATTTGAAAAGAATGCTAACCTGCATGTCCCCGAGTCTCCCACGGCACACTCGCTCCCATATACACCCTGGTTTTCCTCTCTGTTCTTATTTTTCATTTTCTTCTTCCTGCCACAGCCCCTTTGTTCATATGCTGTGTCTTCCTCCCGGAAAACCCTCCACCTTGTCTTACCCCATCTCTGCCTACGACATCCTTCAAAGACCAACTCACCTTCTTCTGAATAACACCCTAACAGGTTATCTTCTGAGAGCTGGAACACACTCAACTCCATGACACACACACTGCTTCATGAGCAATGCTTGCTTTTTCTCTTAAACTCTGAAACTGTGCTAGAAATGAGTGGCGTGGAACATTCAGAAAGTTCTCCACTAAGCCTTTTAAATTAAAGTGAAGTTTAAAATAGTTATCTCTAAAGCGTTATCAAATATAATTTAATGTTCCAATAAAAATGATTAAATCTTAGAGTGTTTTCTGGAATACAAATAAATCTTACGAGTCCTGACTATCCTTTGTTTGTCTGTTTGCTTGTTTCCTGACGACCTTCTTTTAGGCTTGAATAATGGTTAAAACCAGGGGCCATGAGTTTTTTGGAAGAACCTTGAGTGGTTATTTCAGAAGCAATTGACTAAAGTGTTTGTCAGAGGCAAGGGGCAGTTAACAAGTAGTAGCTTGTAGGGGAGATTCAGTAGGATATCTAGGTCCTAATCCCGGAATTGTGGGTTGCATTTTGCGTGATAATAGGGACTTTGCCTACGATGTAAGGATTTTGAGATGGGAAAGTTACCCTGTGTTATCTGGATGGGTCCTAAATGCAATCACAAAGGTCCTTAGATGAGGGAGACCGAGGGAGACTTGAAGAAGCCACCCTACTGGCTTTAAAGGCGGAGAGGGGCCAGGAGCCAAACAGGAGGAATGCAGCTCCACAAGCTGGGCAAGGCGAGCACACAGGTGGATTCCCCTTGCAGCCCCCGGCAGAGCAAGGCCTGGCCAACATCTTGACTTAAGCCTGGTGAAATTAATTTTGCACTTCCTGCCACCAGAACTGGTAAGAGAATACATGTCTGTTGTTTAACGACATCAAATTTTATGGGATTTTGTACAGCAGTCATAGGAAACTAATTCACCTTGGAGATATATATACATATATATATATGTATATATATATATAGTTTAGAGGTCAGCAAAATTTTATATGCTAGTTACTAAAACATTTTATTTAAATTTATACTGATTGTTGTGATCATAACATTGAGCTTCCAAGGCTGTTTACCGAAAAAGGGCAAAGCGTTTACCTGTAAAATCAAAAGGTTTTATTAATGGTGTAAGGTCTTTGACCGTAACTTTAGAACTAGGCCTGTCTGCTCCTGGAAGTACAATGTTTGCCGCAAGAAACCGTGAAGGCTCATTCTCTGGGCACCACGCTGGGCCGCGCTCAGCCGCCGCAGCCTCGGGCCGAGGCCCCCAGCACGATTGGGGGGTTCTGGCTGAGCCCCCCACAATCACTTCACACGTAAAACAGAGGGGCTGCAGTCGTAGCTTCACACTGCACGGGGCGGAAACTTTACACCCGATGCCCTTGCTGTCTAAATCCAGTCTCCCTGCACAGATACCGCCCAACAACGGACCTGTTCCTTGGAGGTGAGCGNCGCCGCCCCGCGCCCCGGGCTTACCCCGCGGACCACTGCAGCACGTCGGCGGGCTGCGTGCGGATCGCCGCCTTGGTGAACTGCTTCAGGATGTCCGGCAGCTCCGGGGGAATGTGGATCTGCTGCGCGCAGAACAAGGTGTCGGGCAGCGGCATCGCTCTCCACAGACCGGGACCCGCTGGGAAGACCGAGGGGCTGCGGGGCAGGAAGGGCGGACAGTCAGCCTGGGGCCGCCCGCCGCCCCCAGGTTTGGGACGGGGCGGGGGAAACGGGGCCGGAGCAGGCGTCCGGGCGCAGGCCGCTGTCCCCGGTTTGGGAGCGGGTCGAGAGGCGGGTTTCGCCGGTCCGGGGAGGCCCGCGGGTGGTCTTACCCGCTTCTCTCCCGCCTCCTGGCGAAACGAGGGCCAACCGCCCCCGCTAGCGGCCCAGACGCAGCCGCTGGGGAGCGCACGCCGGCGCTATTGTTGCGCTGCAGTATCCAGGCAACCGGGACGCGCGCGGGCCCCGCCCCCTAGCGCCGCGCACGCGCACACGCCGCGGGCCGAGG